TCAAGTCAATCTCAAAGCCATTTCACAGACGGTCCGTCCGATAAGATCAGTCGTCATCGAGCAAGGATTCGCGGAATTTCCGAACGATAAGCGTGCTGATAAAGCTGCAGTGCTGCACGCCTGCACCATCCGGACGTCACCCAAAAGCGCCGGAACGGGAGTGTGGACGTCGACTGCCGACAACTCGTTTGCGCAGACTGACCTGGGAGCGGGGTGTCCTCGTCAAGGCACGGTGGAAGACGCTCATCCGCGCGGAAACGCTGTCGCAACGTCTTTGCTTCAGCATCTACGCGAGTTCGCGTGCGAGCTGTTCAAGCCGTGATAGCTAAGGCACAATATCGTTATATAGACCCATCTCCTCATCTTGAGATGCCTTGTGGGTGATACACTTGACGGCTTCATTCACTATTGCGCCATTCACATCGAGAATGACGCTTTGTGCTTCCTATCTGCAGTGCTGCGAAGCGTCGTACTCATGAATGGAATTCGATCTGGAGCCCCGCTGCACCCATTCTTGTTTAAGGCGTGCTAGCTCAGGTCCCGGCCAATGGAAGACGTATACCTGCCACTCTAGAAAGCTGAACGAGAGGCGAGGAACGCTGAAGGTCAGGGGAGAAAGGTAAAGCAAGCTGCGCGCAGGTCTTTCTCGCTGCGAGCATCACGTCGCGAGACTTGACGCGTATCCTAGCGGAGACGGCGAACGTGGAGTCAAAGGTAAGCATGAAAGAAAGCAATGTCCGTGCCCGGAGCGTGAGACGAGGCGAGCGTCAGTCACGATTCAAGCTTGTGGGTGCATGTTCACATTGATATTCGTGTGTACATAGCGCAGCGTCAAGAAGGACATGCTGCTAATCATCCACCGGAAGTTTCGCTTCTTAATCACCATGTGAATGCAGTGTGACTAAAGTAATTCTTTGATACGATGTCCAGGCACAAGCTGACCGCGTCGCTCGATCTCACCACGCTGGCCTATACAAATCATGCAACAGCGCTTGCTCTTGCTCTTCTTGCACCTGCTGAGACTTTGGCACTCAGTGACTTGAACCCCGCATCGGCAAGGCATCGGGACCGACGTGTGCACGCTGCAATCAGCAAGCATTTTTTCTCACGCAATTGAATCATGTCAGCGGTTCATCTTTAGAGTCTCGAGTGTGACGCCTAGCTTGCTGGTCTACTGCATGGGAACATTCACGACTGCAGAGAAGGCTTTGTAAGCGATGCACATGAATCAGGGCTCCATCATCAACCTCATCAGTCGATTCTGCTCAGCAGAGCTTGCAGAAGACGCACGTGTGTGCATGTTGCATAACGCGTTGATCTGTAGCATGCATGCATCAATTCCAGCACCACACCCTTGTTGTGCCTCAGATACGCAAGTCCCTGCTGCTGGACGGATCGGATCGTGTTGTGAGGTGCAACGCCTA